AAAATCAATATGTCACATAAGATTATCTCCAAAGGAAATGTCAAAAATGCCACATAGACGTATGATGGTAACAAATGACGTACTATTTACTCTAACCGAGATGTCAAAAATGACATGGAAAATAAGACTAAGTTGACATGGACAAAGAGATGTCAAATTTGAAGCTGCCTTCAAATTTGATTTTTGTTATTTCTAAAGGCATTCCGCATGCCTTATCTTAAATGCTAGCATATTTAAGTATTATTTTATTTTTTAAACTAATAAAAACCCAACTTTTATTATTTTTGTTCACAAAAAAAACATAAATGAAGCAATAAATTTTGATAACAAGGTGGAAGGAAAATATTAACAATATGTTAAATTACCAAGTCGGCCATCAAATTTAAATTTGATGTTTTGAATTTAACAGCTCATTTGGAGATGCTCTAAGCCTTCAAATTTAAATTTTACGTTTAAAATTTGACATCTTCTTTAAAGATGGTCTAAGGTGACAGAGAGTTCGTAAAAAATCTCAAAGTCTCCTTAGTATTTCTCTTTTTATGAAAATGAGTAACTTACAATCTTCTTATACTCGCAATGCTTCTCCCGAATCCGGATCCTCTTTGTGAGGATTTCAGGGATTCGTGAGTCATGTCCGTTCATCGTACATCATGCGGTTAGAAATTATTTTAAATTGAATACAAACAATGTCTGACGAAAACTTACCGCATGATGTACGATAAACGGACATGATTTATGAATATCCGGGATCTTCACAAAGAGGATCCATATTCACTTCTCCCAACTCGCAGGTGAAAAATGAATCTATGGGTCTAAATTGACAAAAATACCCCTAATTACTAAACACATTGTTCTTGTTTTCTTGGCTTTACAATTTTTTTTTTTTAAAAAGCAGAAAAATATGGTAGACAATGTCATGGTTTGTATCATGTTTTCTAATCACATTTTAGACTTTTCATATAAAAGAGACATGAAATTGATTATAACTTATGTGCATTTTGTAGGGGCTTTGCATTAGTATAGGTTAGTGTTTACAAAAATGCATTTGTTTAGATAGGACGGAGCCATAACTTTGTCACAATGGAAGTACGATAAGCTTCAAACCTCACGACCTTCAATTAACATGCCTAATTTCTTTAGGGCTATTTCGTTTTTAATTTGTAGTTTTTTATTTTCACTTTTAAAAAATAAAATTAAAATGTGAAATCTTGTTTAGTAATTATTTTTAATTTTTAACTTTCAAAAAACAAAAGAACTGAAAATTAAAAATAGGTACCAAATAAGATTTTAATTTTTAAATTTCAAAAATGTAAAAACTAATTAAAAACAAAAGATGAAATAATTATCAAACGGTTCTTTAATTTTTTTTTTTTTTTCCTTTAACTTTGATGCTCTTAAATGCATTCTATCACATATTTTAAGATATTAAATACTGTGGTCAAAACTGAACGTTGAACAAGATTAGTGAAAGTCAAAGCCGAGCCATTGAGGTGACCCAAACCGATTTTTTATATTTTTTTGTTTGCGGATGGTCATCTACCGTAGTATTAAAAATAGATGTTGTCTTTGTACCATGACAATTGTTCAAATTTCGTCTGTTAACTAATCTAAAATTTATTTTAATAAATTTATCGTTTGATAAATAAAAAAAATGAACCCCCATAGCTTTGCTACTGTGTTTAGATGTAAAACTTATTGAGAAAAAAGTTCTAGAAACCCCTACACTTAGAGGGAGCATGAACGAACATGAAAAAAAAAAAAAAAAAAGAAAAAAGAATCAAGGGTATTTTGGACCATAAAAAAGTTGATTCGAAGGTGTCAGCTCCTGAATTCCACAATTCCACGTGAACAGAGTCTTCATGGCTGTTTCTGTAACAGGGCCGGCCCAAGTTTAGTGCGGGCAGAGCGACCGTCTAGGGTTTTAAAAAAATTGAGCATCAAAATTATTAGGGTGGTATATTTATATATGTTTTCATAAGAGTATAAATTTATAATATTTGGTTTGATGATAAAGAAAACTGGAGGTGGTGGTTTTGTCATTTGAAAATAATGAAGAGGTCTTGGGTACAAAACATTAATTGTGCTTATTTACTTTTCAATTTTTACAAATTTATTTTCATAAGAGTATAAATTTATAAAATTTGATTAAATGATCAAGAAGTTTAATTAGAAGCAATGGTTTTTGTTGTTTAAAATTAACAAGATTTTCAAAGTTCGAAATGCTATATGTTTGTTTATTCTTTTCAATTTTTACGAATATCTGTTTGGTTATTAATTTATTTTTAGTTGCTAGCTAGTAGCTATGACACACCCCGACCTAAATCAAGACGTGACTGGCCCAGGCGGGATGTGACAAGCTATGTGGGTTACTATTTTTAAATATTCGTTTGAAATTCAAGTCTAATTTTCTACAAAGAGTAATATGTAGACCAAATTCTTAGAGCAAATTTGCAAATCATATGACGTATCATCAAAATGTTTAATTTAGTGCCCATTCATTACTTATACATATTAATTAAAGACTCGAAAACATCATTATTTTTTGAGTCTCATATTGACAAGGTTGGTAAATAAGAAAAAATACCTCACGATTTATACAAAAACACTTTAACAGTTCATATGGAAAACAAAACTCATCGTCTATCTACATGTAAGCTCGGAGTTTTTTGATTTCCTTCTCTAGATACAAAATAAATTAGCCTTTATGTGTTTCTAAATTATTGTCTTTGAACTATTTTTCTAAGTACAATTTTATCGATGTCTTACATATGAAAATAAATAATTTTCTTATATGAAGTTATGGCACATTTTTGGGTATTGCCCCGGGCCTAAAAAATCTCTGGACCGCCCTACCCTAAACACATTAAAACCGGAACCTCCAATTATAGTAAAAGCCAGATCTTACTCTCTCTCTCTGCAGAAACATTAAGAACCCAAAAGGAAGAACCAGTCCACATTCAAATTCAAGGGCAACATGAAAAAATTTAGTCCCAAAAACCCGATTATTTATAATATTGTCCCAGTCCAGATTCCGTTTTGATATACAGTACTGCACTTCTTCACTGCAGAAAAATTTCAGGTATTTCCAGTTGGCTGGCTGAAAACAAATGGCGATCCTCCTCCATTGTTAGAGCTTCTTTCAGTCCTCTATCTCCCTCACAATGTGGATGCTATGGAGGACATTTGAAGGCTAGGGTTAATTGTTTGAGGTAATTAATCTCTAATCTTTTCTGGGTTCTTCTACTTGTTAATTATAAGTGCATTGGCTTCATTCCTCCCCACATTTTTCAAGGAGAAAAGGGGGGGGGGGTGGTGGGAGGAAAAACCCTTTTTCTTTTAGTACATAAAGAATTTTGGGAACCCTTTTCTTTTTATTACATAAAGAGTGTTCGGGACCTTCGTTTTCTTTGTTTGGATTTTCCTCCGCTAGTGTTTTTTCCGGCAAGGTTTTAACGAGGCCACTCTATCTTCGATTCTGTAATATCTTTTCGAAGAATGACCTTTTTCATTTTTCTTGACTTCTTGTTAAATTGGCTACTTTTGTTCGTTTTTGTTACATTAACCAGAAACATGTCTTTCAAAAATCGTTATATTTGAGATGATCAGATGTTTGTTATGACCGAGACCTGTTGTTTTGTGAAGACATCATTTTAATTAGTGTCAAGTCATTTGTCTCACATCGATCGTTGATTAATCTGAGAAAAATTATGATGACTCTAGCTAGTTCTAGTAATTTGTGATTTATTAACTAATTAGAGTTTTGAGTCTATGAGCTTGTTTTTAATAACACTGTCGGCTCTAAGCTTCTGTTAATTAACTAATTAATTACGATAATATAGAGAGGAAAAGTAGTTAGAAGATATGTCCTAGAATTCCAAACGCAAAACAAATTACAAGTTTGTTTTGGCTGAAGATGTTAAGGGGAAAAGTGATTAGAAAAATAATTGAGGTGCGATTCCTAAACAGATCAGAGCATGGCGGATGGGTTAAAGCTAGGGTTTGGTGATAATCTGTCAATCGCGTGAGCCAAGGTAAAACCATTGAAATCAATATCCGATTGAAGTACCAAAAACCGTTTTTGGTTCCAAGTACAAACTACAAAGACATCATGGTTGTTGTGTTTTGGTTTCATCTCCATAAAGTGAGGACACGTGAGATTTGCAGAACTTACTAGATGTTCAATAATGGTTTGTTTGGTCTTGAGGGGTTTAAGAAATGAGAAAGTAAAAGTTCGTTTGATAATCATTTCATCTTTTTGTTATATTTTGTGTTAGCAAGAGTCTGATAAAAAAAGATATATATAGGATAAATGAGGAATTAGGATAAATTAAGAATGAAGAAGAGCACATGAAGAATGGTACGAGAGTTATAGAAGAATGCATGTTCAATACAAAACAATGAAAACCAAAAAGCGGTGTTTTTTTTTTACTTTTGAGATTTTGTTTTTATTTTTTTCTTCGTTACTTTTATTCCTCTCTCTCTACTCTCTTCATCCTTTTTTTTTTTGTCTCATATATTCCATCGTATTTCAAGCATAAAAAATTAAAAATTAAAAAAACGCAATGGTTGCCAAACAAACTTTAAATTTTTTGGATTTGAACAAAACAAACCGTGTATGGGGTGGCAAGAACAATAAAAGTAATAGTAATAAAACCTATTTGACTATTTTGAATCTTGACGTTAGCGTTTTATAGGAAATTTTGAAAATAATAGTAATCTCGAAATTAGTGTTTTATAGGGAATTTTAATCAGAATCTAAATTTTTGGGCATGTTAGAGACTGAATTTTAAAAGGAATTGGCTCCTCAATGGATGGGGAGGAGTTCATCCTCAAGATCGTTTGTAACATATTCACGGAACTTAGAATTTATGATCCTCAAGATGCTCGTTCGTTAACGTTTTCTGAAATAATTTTTTGTTTTTAGATACAAAAACGGGTAAAAAATGTGTTTGACAAATTGTTTTTTAAAATAAATTCAGAAAAAGAAAAATGCAGAAAACAATATTTAGCTTAAATTTTGTAGAACATCAAATTGATGTTTCTCTATTTTTCAAGGACAATTTTCAAAATAATAGAAAAGAAAATATTTATACATTATAAAAAAAAAATATTTCATAAAAGATAAAATCATGTATGTCACCATCACTGTAGCCACCACGACCACAACATTGTATACCGTCTCACCATGATCACCACCACCACCACCATCTTTGTCATTACCACCTCCCACCACCATCGCAGCCACCACCATATCCTACACCGCCATCACCCTTGCCACCATGGGCACCACCACCTTCACTGTCACACTAATTCCACAACCAACACTACCGCCGCTGTCTCACCATGGCCACCACCACATGCACCTCTGCTGCCACCACCACCACCACCAGATGATCCACCGCCATCATTCTCGCCATCATGGCCATGACCACCTCCATCATCTTATCGTTGCGGCCACCAGCACCACATCTTCACCTCATTACCCTTACCATGGCCATCACCACCTCCGCCATCTCCACCTTATTGCCCTCACTACTACCGTCACTCCAACCATCATTGCTGCCACCACCGCACCACTGCTACCATACACGAATTTATATTTATTTTGACATTTTAGATATTAGTGCCATACGCATTTTCTATGTTTTTTTTTTCAGCAATCATTCTCGAATTAAACTATGTGTATTCTCAAATCATAGAAAGAAAGAAAAAAATTGTCGTTTTCGTTTTTATAAAACAGTTCTTCAAAAATTGTTTTGCAAGACGTTACCGGGCCGTTATTTGCTCCAATGCAATCTCATTTTAGGCATAAAAAGTTGCATGGTTTTTCCCGATATTATTGTCCCTAGGCATGTGGTTTTTACCTTAATTATATGCTTATTTGGTCCAACTTATAATACATATGCTGCGTTCGATGTTTACAATAACATCATACTTAAAATGCTAAACATATACAATTTATGGATTTATTATGTTCCTCGAATTTCACTGTATTTTTTATCAAGATTAAAGCTACATTTTGTCTAAGTAGCAAGTCAAATGACTTCAAAACCCTTACCATAAAATGCATTATTCGAAGACTGGGAATTATCCTTGTGCACAAAAACGTAATTCCGCAGTGTATCCGTTGTTAACGAGGAGTTGGAGCTGATTAGTGTGTGATTATAAAAGTCCATTACCATAAGCAGATTTGCTTTCAAGAACTCAGCCAAAAAATAAAAAATAAATTCTGAGTTCTGAACCCTCAAAGCTTCTTATGCGATAGAGTTGCACATTGTTGGTTAACAGGAAGTTTGAATATTTTTCAGGAAAATTCTTCATTACTTGCGTTTTTGGTGCAATCATGCCATGCAGTTCACTAGCTATTCCTACCTCTCCGGCTTCCGCCACGACGGTAGACGTTTTCCAAGAGCACAACGGTCTCCGCCGGTCTAACTCCAACCAAGACCTTCACCGTCGTGCTACTATGCGGAGGTCTTATTCCGACAACCATCTTTGTTACCGCATCAGTCGTATCCACGCAGCAGCAACAGAACCAAAACTAAAGAACAGCCGTTCGGGGATTTTCTCGTTTCAGTTTTCGAGTTCCATTCTCCCAAACTTGGTGAGATCATTCTCGTTTGATCCAGACACGAGTAATCATACAAGCATAAAGGCGAAGGACATGAGTAAGGAGACCTCTGGGGAGAGCGCCAGTGAGGAGGAGAGCAAAAGAGCAAATTGGGTGGAGCGACTTGTGGAAATCAGAAGTAAATGGAGGGATAGGCAGAAAAAGGACGATGCGGATGAAGACAGCGTCTGTGAAGCGGGTGAAAATGGTGATTGTGAATGTGGCAGAGATGAGGGTGGTTGTGCGGTGGATTATACTGCAGAAGACGATGGGGGAGAAACCAGTCCTGAATTTTTCCGGAGGTTTTTGGTTCGAGTTCCATGGTCTGATACCAAGCTGTTTTCGAAGCTATCCTTCTTGTGCAACTTGGCCTATGCGATGCCACAAATCAAGGTATGTGTTTGTTCAGCATAACGCACGAACTGAGTTTCGATATTTCAAGCACGATAAATAAATTCATACTTCTAATTCATGTGCAGGAAAATTATATAAAGAGATATTATGGCCTACGATTAGTAACAACTTCACTAAAGAAGAAGGCCGAAGATGAAATCAAAGCAAAACTAGATAACAACTCGAATCGTGTACCTGAAGCTGCCGAAGTAGCTAGTGAATCCAGTTCGGAGAAAGCTGTAGAAGCTGGGCAGAAGCGTCCATGCCGTCCTGCTGTTGCTTACAATATTGCTGCCTCAGCTGCATCTTATGTGCGGTCACGCAATCAGGACAGCTTCTCACTCGGGCCCAAATCGCAGCAGGAGGGTGATGGCGAAAATTCACGAGAGGAAGGAGGGTACTCACCTCGAAGCTATAAGCCAGAGGTGGCAGTTTCCATGGCAGCGTCAACAATGACAGCAGTGGTTGCAGCAGGGGAAAAGGAGAAACAAGAAACAGCAAAGGACCTTCGGTCACTCCAGTCCTCACCTTGTGAATGGTTTGTCTGTGATGATTCCAGCACATATACTCGTTGTTTCGTGATTCAGGTAAACTTTTACCCCTTCATCCCTCTGGATCTGTGTTTGATAATAGCTCTACAACAGCCTTTCAAATCCAAATGTGGGATTAAATAGACAGATTTCATGTGGCAAAATCATTTTGATTTCTGAAAGAAAGAGATACCGAATAACATATTTGTAAATGCTTTGACATGCAAATTGTTCTTCCCTGCAGGGTTCCGACTCCCTCGCATCCTGGCAGGCAAACCTGTTCTTCGAACCTACCAAATTCGAGGTAAGCATAGATACAGATACCACCCTTGCTACTGTTTCAGAAGGAAGGAAAATGATTAGTCATAACATCTTCATATTCTTGTACAGGGGACAGATGTGCTTGTTCACAGAGGAATCTACGAAGCAGCGAAGGGAATGTACGAGCGATTTATTCCAGAAATAACTGAACACTTGAATAGACATGGTGAGCGAGCGAAGCTTCAGTTTACAGGCCACTCTCTTGGAGGAAGCCTCTCTCTCTTAGTCCACTTGATGCTGCTGAGTAGGAAGTGTGTAAAACCCTCTACTCTTCGGCCAGTTGTCACATTTGGCTCACCATTTGTGTTCTGTGGAGGCCAGAAAGTACTCGACAGACTAGGAGTGGATGAGGGTCAAATCCATTCCGTGATGATGCATAGAGATATCGTCCCTAGAGCCTTCTCCTGCAACTACCCTAACTATGTGGCCACACTTCTCAAGCGTTTAAATTCATTTCGGTCACACCCTTGTCTAATAAAAAATGTAAGTATCACCATCATTAAATCATACCATCACAAATTATGGCTTTAAACTCATCTGCAACTTACCACTTTAACCTCAGAGAATATTATTCTTGCGCAGAAGGCTTTAACTATGCAGTAAAATGTTATACGAAAACCTATAACTTGATATCGATAACTTATCTACTGAACTTTTACTTAGGGCAAGTTTTCTAATTCACTTCTTATTGTGTGTGTTTCTATGCAGAAAATATTATATTCTCCGATGGGCAAACTATTTATTCTCCAACCTGATGAGAATGAATCTCCTCCACACCCTCTACTTCCTCCGGGGAGTGCCCTCTATGCTTTGGACAAGACCCAACGTGGATTCTCTTCAAGTGTCCTTACGACTTTCTTGAACTCTCCACATCCACTAGAAACCCTAAGTGATCCTACAGCTTATGGTTCAGACGGTACAATTCTAAGAGACCATGACTCAAGCAACTATCTAAAGGCTGTGAATGAAGTCCTAAGGAAACACACAAGGAGAGCTGTTCGGAAAGTGAGAAAAGAAAAGAATCTATTGTGGCCGCTACTTACTTCACCATCTCCACACTCCTGGAACCATGAAAGTAATCTGGAGAGCAGCGGGTTGGCAACTAAGGAGATACTCACAGGAGTTTAAAACCATTGTTTTGTGTGTGGTGCATATAGAGGATGTTCATAAGAAAATAAGTAGAGGACTTAGTTCGTTCTCTCTGTTTCGTGTACATCTCTTACATCCTAACCGTCTCTGTATCTATGAACTCATCCTTGACTCGCCCTGAATAAAATGTAAATTTTCCAGTCCCTGTGAAGGGTCAGTCAAAAGGGTACTACAACTGGGAGCACAGAATTGTAATTTTCTTTAATACTAAACAAGGAGGAGTAAATAAGCACAAGCATGAATTCCAACACCACCACCAAATCAAATACAGCTGACTATTAATTCCAATTAGCAAAGGCGAGTAATAAAGTTTTCCACTAGCTTTGCCACAATTGTTATGCATTTCTAAATTTTATCATACAATGAAAAGTGAACTCTCACTTCAACACTTAACCAAAGGAGGTAGAGGCGAAGAATTAATGCTGCCACATGACTTCAAAGCAAAGAAAGCAATAAGTAGTAGCAGCTATTTACCCTCTGCAGCCATTCTTTTCCGTATCTCATGAGCTGTGTTGAATATGCCAAGTGTAGGCTTGTCGCAGACAAAGCATTTCTTGTTCTTCGAATGATGCTGTGAATGAAAAGCATATGGTTAGAAAAAAATACTTGAAAGAAACACATGGAAACAGAAAGAGCCTGTTATACTTGATACACTTGATTAATAAATCAAAAACCATAACTGAATGTCGTAAAGTTACTGCAACAACGAGAATGCAGATGGACACGTTAAGAGAGGTCACCTTTAGTGCACAATGCTCACAGAAGTAATGATTGCACTTAGTTACTACAGGATCAACAAAAGGTTGCCTGCAGATGAAACATGCAAAGGGCAACCCACCATCATCTTCGTCGTCGTCATCTTCCTCAGTCTCGTCGACATCATCCTCACCCATAGCTAATTTTCTCTTCCTTGCTTTCTCTGCTTCATCCCACTCTTTTTCCATCTGCCAGCCCGACTTGTAGTCCCCACGATCGTGCATAAACTTGCAGGAATCTCCATACCCACAGTAACCAGTCTCTTTGTAATCCTTACAGATGTCTGGCTGATAATCAAATCTCGTGGAAGTCCTGATGTGAGCAGAAGCCCTGAGAGGCCCATGTGCACCTCCTGCTTTCTCACTGGCCACTGTTAGCTCTCTTCGGAACCCAGCCTTGTAATCAGTATATCCATGGATCCCTTTATACAACTTTTCATTGCCAGTACTTTTGCCCTTTCCCTTCAAAGCCTCCTCTGCCTGCTTGAGAACTCTCTCGCGAACTGCTCGTGCATCTCTGGAGAACTCAGTCTCAGTCTCCATAGTCGCTGTTGCTCTGCTATCATTTTCAACTTGGATTTCTTTTGAAGACTCAAACTCAAAGACTGCTCTGTCATCAGATACAGAGGTCTTGGAGGGTCCGGTAGAAAAAAACAGCTTGCCATCAGACTTTTGGGCTTTTCTTTGGTTTGATAAGGATGTCCCAGACTTTGAATCGTCCTCCTCGTCATCTTCATCAGTCCTTCGCTTTCTAATGTTCTGCCTCCTTGATGGCTTCCGGAAGAAGTTGCAAACTGTAAATGCAAAAAAGCTATGAACAGTGTATATAGCATATGCAACGTAAGCATATAAATAAAACTCATCAAGAACAAAAAATACCTTCTCCAGGCTCTTTATTTTCACCCGAATCCGCCATGTAGGCACAAGAAAAGAAATGCAGGCAACCAAAGGACGTAGAACAAAGTACAGTTCCAAGGCCTAGGTCAATTGCCGCTACTTGAGCCTATTGGAGCTGAGTGGCCAAACTAAGGATTTGAGAGGTAGCTCTGAATTCCTCGTTTTATGGCTGCTGCTGGAAAACAAAGTTCACTTTATAAATTAACCAAAAAAACTCCAGAAAATAGAGAAAAGTCATAAGTTCATACATGGAAATCAACCAACACTAATAAAAAGTGGAAAACAAAGTTCAACTCAAAAGAAAGTGGATCAACCAATACAAAGTGAAAATTTAAACTTTATCGAAGAAAACAAGAAAGAAATTTGAAGGTTTCACAATTCATTGCATCATGTGGTTTCTCATTACTAAATCAGTAAACCCTTACCATTTTGGTGAAAAAGTCCTGCAAAATTACTGTTTCTTTCCTGGGAAACATATGAAATAGAAGGGAAGACGCATGAATCCTTGAGCCCATTCCAAACCAAATATATATGTACATTGAAGATCCGTGTATTGAGTGGCAAATATGTGCTGATTTTGTTTTTGGCACTTCCCAATACAGACCTGTTCAACATAGGATACTAAAGCTAATTGTTGAATACACATCAAGCTTGACTTCTCTTTTAACTAATTGATCCTTTTATTTCCTGCTAAAACCGAAAGGAGTTCATATAACCGGGTTCATGCGCTTTATAAACACAGTCTTAGTCTATATACCCTAATGCTGCGAATCCAACTGACAAGAATCTAAAAGTCTCCCAAGTTAACATTTTGGTTTTGCCCTCTTCTTGCTTAGCATCCCTAGCTCCTAAATATTCTTCGCACCTTTTTCAAGGTTCGAATAATCCCAATTATTAAGCTGACAAACATCTAAAAGTTTGCAAAGTTTCACAACCACTTGCTCTACCATAAGGAACATGAAAGATTTACTCTTAATCCTCCCAGAAATCATCCTTAATCCTCCCAAAGTAATTACCATAACCATTTTGCCGGTGGTAGCAAATGTTGAATTAATAACAACAGAAGTAAAAATATTTCAGTACATAGATGGAGATTTGAGTTTGTGGGGTATGAGATTTATGATTAAGACAATAAACCCAGAATTTATTTGGAGTATAAATATGCAATTTGAAATTAATTAGAGGGACCCTAATCAAAATTTAAAACTTGATTAAACACTAAGAATTTGCTTCTGAATCTCATAACAAAGTTCAAACCTTTTGGGCGTGACGCTGCAGTCTCTGCCTGAAGCACCCAGAATTTGCTTTTGGAGTACCCCCCACAAACAAGAAGGGTTTTGAAGAAGAAGAAGAAGAGGAAGAGAAGAATGGGGACCGCTCTGCTGACCTTGTAACTGGGCTGGGCTTTTTGGGGATGGACTATTTTGGTCACGATGGGCTTGCTGGACTCCTAGTTTTTTGTCTTGTATATTTGGATACGGCTTAGAAATTGGTATTTACACCCCAAAACTCCTGAAAACTTTTCCCTAACTTCCTAATTTTACACTTTGCCTATTTGTATTAAAGGAAGGGCTTGATGTGCAGATTACCAGTTCATTATGTAATTCCCATAATTTATTTAAAACTTGTGGGGGCAATGATCACCTCGAGTAAGGGCTGGTTTACTATTAATGTGCTTTGAAAAAATACTGTTTTTATTGTGCTATGAGAATAAGCTGATTTTTATTGCTTCACGTTTTTAGTTTTTTTCATGTAAAGCTGTGAAAATAAGCTGTTTTTAAGTATTTATCAAACATCATTTTGAGCTTAGCTTTTTATTATATTCAATTTTTATAAAAGCACCTCAATACCAAACCAATACTAATTCAGTAACGCAATCGATATAGCTTTCATCTTTATTAAATATTATGTAATCCAATAATTTATTTAAAACTTTTGATCTATGGAGGGCAATCATCACCTCTAGTAATTTAGTAACGCCATCGGTATAGCTTCCGTCTTTTGGCAGAGGCTGACTGGGTTTGGTTAAGATATATCGCCGAACCCCATGGAAAAATGGAGGCTACGCTAGCCTTCATGTGAAATAAACACTAAGCCATATTTGATATGCATGTTGAGTTGTTTTTTTATCTCTTTATTTGAAACGAAGGTAGGTTGGCATCTGCAAAGCCGGGATTTTTATTTTTTTTTATCTTTACTAGAAAAAGGGTAGTATTAGAAAATTATTATTGTTTTGAGATGAAAGATGGAGTTAGTGGTGATGAGTTTTTTGGGTGTATATAGCAAAACACCCTCACTTTGAAGGCCATAGTCCAATTAAAACCACATCTGGATTGAAGCATACTAATTCCAGATCATTATAAGGAAAACTAATGAAAATGATTCGAAAATTTTAAGTTTTAACGATAAGAATAAAATAAAATGTAAAATAAATAGTATCAAGATTGACTTTTTAATGTAAAAATGTGATTTTTCGTTAAAATAAATAGTATCGATAATTTTTCGTTAAAATTATGAAATATAACCCATCAAATCATATTTTATTTTATTTTAATTTCACTTATAATAAAAACTTTTTTTTTTTCTGATTTTTTTTATATGCTCTCTCTCTCCTCCTCGGTCTGTCTCTCTCCTCCTCAATTTCTCTCTCCCTTCCTTCTCCAATAAAATTTCATTTGAAAAACCCCTCACAAATGCACCTCAACCTCCAATCTAAATTTTCTCCGTCTTTGAAAACAGAAAAAATTAAAAAGACCTAATTTTGATCAAACCCTGAAAGCCCTATTCAATCTAATCCCTGCCTTTCTACCCACATTTTTTCTGGGGTTGCTTTTCTTTTCCTGCTTCGCCGAGTTTCTACTTCTTCGCCATTTTCTGATTGGCCGACACTACCAATAGTTAGTTTCCTCAGTTCCTCTAGGTCACCAAAATCCCATCTTTTTCTTACCAATCCCCCAATTCTCCCGTAGTTTTTCTAGGGTTTCATCCTTGTTCATCAGATTGGGGATTTGATATTTTATGTTTTGGTTTTTGTTTTTATACTGGGTAGGATTCTAATTTATGATCTTCCTTCCCTGAATACCAAATTGTTTAGTGTTTCTGCAGCACATGAAAAATTCCTATCTGGGTTGTATTCGTTTGTATTTTTTGGAGAAAGGGTTTACCTTTGAGCAAAGATTTTCATTTTTTGTGTTTTTGTAATTTAGTTGTTGCCATTGATTTTTGGGATTGGGAAAGAAGTTAGCTCTCTTTTTTCTCTGGTGGTTTGGGATTTTTGGGTACAAGGAAGGGTTATTGTTTGGTGTGGAAGTGAAGGGAAAGCTTAGGCTTGCATGGGCGAACTTGAGGGGTGGGCAGAGCCACCAAGTGGGCTGTTGCCGAATGGCCTATTGCCCGATGAAGCTGCCTCGGTGATGCGAGTGCTCGACTCAGAGCGATGGTTGAAGGCGGAG